AATTGTTTTCCGACTCTTCTGCCTCAAGTTGCGTCTCACAATTTTTGGTTGCAAGTAGAAAGCGTCGTGCAACCGGCAATTATCGTGCCAGGTGAGGGGCACTCCAGTCAGGGGGGGTTTCGAGGGGAAGCCTGGGCAATTGCTCAAGCCAAGCAGCTGCTTATTAGAGTTTAGTCCATTCGGCAACATTTGCCTGGAGTTTGCAGCTCAGCTGAACTAGTTCTTCGGCTCATTCGGTTCATTTCTGTGCATGGAAAACACAATAGTTCCTTCAGTTTCACAATAGTTAACTTCAGGCTTTGTTTGCCATTTCGCAGCTAGTTCTTTAGCTGACCTTTGTGCTTCGGAACTAGTTCATTCGGTTAATTTCTGTACATACGAAGCACTTAGTTCCCTTAGTTACATTAACTATTCACATTGGCTTCAGGCTTTGATTTGTTCAACATGCCGAGCCAGTTCGCCCGTTCATTTCGCGTTATAACTTCCCTTCTGGCTTCATTTACTAGCTCGGAACTAGTTCTTAAGCTTTGGAACTAGTTAGGTTGGAGCTAATTATTGTTTGTTTTACTTTCGAATGCTCATTTTTGCAATATTTCAGTTATGTAGCTGCCCTTAGTTAGCCGCTGAACTAGTTCATTTGACCATTTCGTGTTGTCAGCTTTTCAGCCCTTTTAGCTACATTTGCTGCTTGACTTGTCAGTGAACTAGTTGTTCTAAACCTAGCTAGTTCATCTTGCTGCAGTTCAGTTGGCGCTCAAGTCATTGAACCAGTTTTGGCTGCTCGCACAGTTCATTGAACTAGTTCCACACTAATTGACTGATCAGCGCCCATTCAATTCACATGCAATTAACATTTCACCTGCGCTCGCGAAAAGAGCACAACACAGCAACAATACTTCCACTTGCCTGCCAGCACACCCTTGCCCTCCTCGCTACACCCTCCCCCCCCCCTCCACCCCCCTGGTGCACGTGCCCCCGCAACACAGCAGCGCGGCGCATTGTTGGTGGCCTTGCTGACCCGGCTGGACGGCGCGCGGCTGTGCGAAGCTTTCGCTTTTTTGTGTGTGTGTGTGTTTTCTTGGCTCGATGAATGCTTTTTATCTGTAAGTTGTTTACCAAGCCCCACCCCCCTCCGTCACTTTAACCCCGCACTCCCCTTACATATACTCCTGCTGTGGCCTGCTCTTTGGCCAGTCTTTGTGTAAACAATTCGATTTCTGAACAACAGCAACAGGCGTTGATGGGCAATTTGTAGCAGCAACAAAAGCAACAGCTGACTGCAAATTATTAATGTTATTTTATGGCTCATTACAATTATTAACATTATTATGTTTATTATGAATTATATACGAAGATTTTAAATGCCGTGCACACAATGAATATGCCAAGCTACAAAAATGTTGCTGCGTCTTTTGAACAAATTGCTCTGGTTGTCACTGGCCGCAAGTGTGTGTGTGCGCGCGTGTGTGTGTGTGTGTGTGTGTGTGTGTGTGTACATATAGTTATAGCTTTATATGCGGGCTATCACTTTCACTAGGTTGGCGCACGTAGAAAGCCAAATGAAAGCAAAGCAAAGGCAAAAAAACGAAAAGCAAACAACAACAAAAAAAAGCTGACAAACAAAACGTTGCACGTTGCGGCAGGTAACAACAACAACAACAACAACAGCTTATGCTTATACCCTATATAGCATATATATAGATATATATATATATATATACATATATATAGATATGTATATATAGTCAGCTAGGCGACCCGCACACAATTGCCATGCTTGGCTGACGCCTTGGCTCAACCTTTTCCTTAGCTCTCTTCGGGCAGCAGAGCTCGCCAGTTCCAGTTCCAGTTCCAATTTCTTTTTCGGCTCGTCTCAGCACACAGCGTGGGAGTTACACCTCATCTTTGCCCCTCTCTCTTCCTCGCGGCGCACTGAAACTGAAATTGAAAATTTTCATGAACTTGATTTCTTAATTTCTGGCTCCGGCAATTGCAATTGTCTCCCCGTTTTATGTATATTTTCTTTCTTTCCTGCTTGATTTTCTGCTTTATTTATTTTCATTTTGTGTGATGAATTTAAATTTGGCTGCACTAATTTGATTAGTGCCGGTCGCAGCAATTTGTAGACAAAGCAGAGGCAGCAGCAACAGGTAACAGCAACAGCAACAGGCAGCATCAGCAGCAACATGGGGCAGGCAACGGGTAACCGTTATGATGAAATTGCTCGACATTGATTGTATAAGCAGCGGCTGTCTGCCACTTGCAACTGGCCATAACACGCCAGCAATTGTTGCTGTTGTTGCAGCTGCTTGGCTCTGCTTGGAGTTGCTTGGAGTTGCTTGGAAAGTTGCATTGGTCAAATGATGCTGCAGTTATTCGAGCATTTATGGCATGACTGAATGCCCAAGAGTGTGCACAGTCTATAAAGCAAGCGCTGCCTAATGATCTGCCAGCTGTGTGCAGCATGAAATGACATACATAACAACGACAGCAGCAACAACTACAGCAGCAACAACAACAGCAACAGCTCAGAACTCAAGCTCAGAGTCTGTATCTGGGGAATGATAATGTTTTGCTTGGAATTTGCTGCCGACACGACAGCAACAGGCGGCAGCAATATCAAACTGACTCACATATGGAGCAGCAGCAGCAGCAGCAGCAGCAGCAGCAGCAATAGCAACTGCAACAGCAACAGCTACAGCAGCAACATCATGATCTATGGTCAGCGGTCAGCAGCAATTCACATCCGAATGATGAACAGACGCCGCAGCTTGCCGTCGCCGTCGCCGTCGCCATCGCATGACATGCAAATGCGCCTGGGAACTAGCTAAATTGAAAATATAATCACTGAAAGGCAACAACAACAACAACGGCAGCAGCAACAACAATTGCCAGACATTTGATTTGGCATACGATACGTTGTTCGCAAATCTCACAGATTTAAAGATATTCAGTTACCTTAAGGTTGCAGCGAGGTGCGGCGCAAGTTACTAAGGTTTTTTTTTTCTCTAAACCAGCAGCAATTGTACCCATGCATTTTAGCTAGAAATAGCCTCTATATATATATGGAAAACTGTTTGTGATAATTGCTCGATTTAGCACTTAACAGCAAGCACCAGAAACAATTCAATGTTGCAGAAAAGGTTTCACTTTTTGCAAGTAAAACAAAGACAAATTCCACAACAAAGTGTGGAATTTGGGTGGAAAATTATTTCATGCGTAATTCTCACCTGATTAGAGACAAGTTATATACAAACTCTTATACTGTATATTGTGCGCAGAAGCAGTTTATGTTTCTTTCGATATCGATATCTGCCGCCATATACAGTAATATCGATAAATATCGATTTCACATCCAGAAGAAGAAGAAAATCTTGTAAATACTTATGAATATGGCTAGTGGGACCTGTTTTTATGAACTGGAGACTAAAAGTTTATAGTTATTCTACGATATATTTCAATACGTTGCTTACTATCGATAGTAGTATAGTATTACAATCTATAAAATAATTTTGAGCATATCTAGTAAATATTTCTGGAATGTGGCTAATGGAAACTATTTATATGAAGTACAGACTACAATTTCAAAGTATTTATTCGATATTTGACAATATGTAGCTTAAAATCGATAAATATCGACTATATACGTGTATATCGATAAGAATCGATTACACCAAAAATTTCATTGGTATATATGGTAAATATTTATGTAATATAGCTATTGGAAAATATTCTAATGACATAATATTTGATATGTATTTCTTCGATATTTGCGAATATGATGCATAAAATCGATAAATATCGATATATCAACCAGGTTTTTTGGACATATCTCACACTCGCTTATAAGTCCTGACTTTGGTCCGACTTTCTCACACACTCCCTCAAATCAAAATCTTAAGCTTTTGTCCCAGCCAGAACAGAGTATCGCACAACTGGAAGCATTTTGTTGCCTTATGCTTGACAGCGATAGTTGTCGCTGCTGTTGTTGTTGTGGACTTTTTCTCACGCTTTGCATTGACAGCAATTGCAGGCAGGCAACAGCAACAACAGAGGCTGAGAACATTTTGCAATGCCGAATGCTTGGCATTTTTGAGGCGTTTTACCAACGCCAACAAGCGAGTCAACAACTTGGTGTCCAGCGTGCAAATGCAAACTGGAACGGAACTTGCTTAATTGCCCAGTCCAAAGCCATTGGCCAGCTAGTTGGCCAGTTGACTTGGGAATTTGACAGGTTGTTGGCCGACAAATGTCGACATTGCCGTCGAAATATTATGAGTTGCCCGTAGGATTCGTATTGAATCGCGCGTTTTTCTTTTGTGCAACTGCAATCACAATTTCCGGCTCGAAAGGTGCTCCAATGTGTTTCCTAATCTCCATCGAAATGTTACTTTATTTGGAATTTTGCAAATGTCGCATATGTTGGACTGTATTTGTACATATTTCACGTACTTGATTTTTATAAATAGTTCAAGTATATTTCTTGAGTTTTAGCAACAATCAATTCATCCGTTTTCTACCCTGGTGCTTCCATTTCCACTCAAAGAGGTGGATTTGCAGTACTCGTGAAATAAACTGCGTTATGAAAGTCTGCTCTCTTTTGTCGTACAGTTCTCTGGAACTAAGCCTAAGTCCTATAGCTAAAGAATTTCAGTAGAGCCTGGCCTGGAAGTTGGAGACTGCAAATCGGGAATTCGAAGCTCGTTATTCAGCTGAACACTAGGGGCAATATGCATGGGCTTATATGCATGACTGGAGAGGTAGTTCAACTTGGATGCTAGGGCTCATCAAATCAGCCAAATTAAGAGCTCACTCAGTTGTTGTCTGGCCAGAGGCCAATTCGCAGCGCTGATTATTGATGAATTTTTAATAGACGGCTAGAAGTTCCCATGCATAAATGCATATTAATTTTTAAACAAATTTCACCCGAAATATTTACAAAAATTAACTTAACCTACCCTCTCTCTCTCTCTCTCTCGCTCTCGCTCTCTCTCTTTCAGATGGGGACTGCAGTTTTCCGGGCTCGCCGGCGCACAGCAGCGTCGTCTTCTCCAGCGCGAACCTGACGCAGGGCACCGTCGCCTCCTACAGCTGCGAGCGCGGCTTTGAGCTGCTGGGACCCGCGCGACGTGTCTGTGACAAGGGCCAATGGGTGCCGGAGGGTATACCCTTCTGTGGTAAGTAAACCAAGGCAGTGACTGCTCGACTGGCAGTTACCCTGTAAACAACAAAATCACATTTTGGCCAATTATTGCTTAAGCACATTCCATTTTTATGGCCGACGCGGGCTTGCTAGAAGAACTATACGACCAGCAGATACCCTATTTTAAGATATCAAGATGCTTTCAAAAGACAAAACATACGTTCTGCCTGCTGGTCTATGCGGCACATGCACATGGCAAATACCCTGTAAGCGCAAACAATATGCTAGCCATATGCTCGAACATATAAACATTGTAGGGTATTTCTATAGGGTATTTGGGTATCTACCCCTACTTATTCAATCATTTCCTTACACAAATGGGGACAGGGTATTGAAAAGTGTTTGTAGTAAACAAAAGACTTAAGCCACAAACTTGCCACATTTTGTGCTATTACGGGGTATTTATATAGGGTATTTAGAAGTCTTTTACTGCCTGTTCCGTGCACTTGCGCTACCTTTTCCATCATTTCCCTAACCACATCAAATAGAGGGTATTCAAAAGTGCCAGAGGCAAACAAAAGACTTAAGCCACAAACTTGCCACATCCAATTGGCCAGTTGAGCATTTTGTAGAGTCAATTAGCACCTTCAACTAGGTAGCTGCTGAAAACGAAGGCATGTGCTCTCCATATGTGTACAACAACTTTCACCACGAACAACAACAACAACAAAAACGACACGACGAATCGAACGTTCTCAATGATACACGCGCCATCGGAATTCCAATTTCAAACCCGAATCCCAGATCCGAAAACCAATTCCAAATGCAAAGTTGTCGTGTGGAGTTGCCAAGTGAAACATGATTAACACGACGCACAATTTGGTGTGCGAGTGTGTGTGTGCGTGTGTGTGTGTGTGCGAGTGTGTGTCTTCTCGATGAAAGGCGGAACACACAGACACAAAGTACAACAAAAAAGCGTCCACAAAAAAAAATGCGAGTCGAGAATTGAACGCAACGAATTGACCCACATTTTTGGTGGTTCGTTTCGTGCTCGTGTTTGTTTTTTTTCTTGTGGCTCGTCTCAAACACCACGAACAACATTTAAGATATATAAAAAAATAATGTTCTAAGTGATTTACCAAGTGGAGTTGACTTGACAACAACTTCCGCCCGTTAAGGCAAACAACGTGAAAATTGATTGACAGAAGCGGTTCACGCAAATCGCATTCAAATTGAAGCTATATAGAAAATATGTCGAAATTGAAATATAATGTGGATTTTATATGCAGAGAAACCAAATCTTAGTTTAGTTCAAATTCAATTAACACTTCTATTGAAACTAAAACAAAGCAAAGCTGAATTGGAAAATGATTCGGAATAGCATTGAAATCGAAATTGATTTGAAAGTGTGCTCAGATTGAATTGAAGCTGAATGGTAGCTAAAATTGAATTGAATCCAAATTAAAATGTAAATAAATGAATTTTTTAATAATCAAATTTAACAGAAATTGTTCAAATATTAAATTGAAATTGAATCGAGTTAATGATTGAATTGAAATGCATTACCAAAGAATTGAATAAACTTTGAGCTTAATTGAAATAAATTACAAATAAATTGAAATTAAACTGAATTAAAATAAACAAAATTTAAATATTAAAAGAAAATTTAAAATGCAATTTACTTAAAATGGAAACAAGACTTAAATTGAATTGAATTGAAATGAAAAAAAAAATAAATGGATCTGACATTGAATTGAAATAGACAGAATAACTTCCTTTTAAGCTGAAATGCACTTGCATTGACAAAAATATAAATTGAAATTAAGCTGAAATTGAAATGGACTTAAAAAGTTGGTTGGAGCCTTATTGAAATAAAACCAGGATTTAATTGAAATACACTTGCTTGAAATTAACTTTGAACATTTGAAAAGAAATTGACTTAAACTTTCATTGAAACGGATTCACATTTGAAATTTAGTTGACTTCAAATCGAAATAGAACTCAAATTGAATTGAAATTGAACAAGAAATAAACAGCTTTAGATTGGAAATTGAATTGGCTAGCAACTGATTGGGCGACCACAGCCTTGACCCTTTTCTTATAGCTGCTTGGGCAGCACATCTGCTGCACTTCGGTCTTGAATGAGGCTGTCTGAAGTGACAGCTCAAACAGAAATAGTTCTTTTCTAAACATCGTTTAGCTACGCCCACGCGACTGGAAACTTGTTTTATTCTCTTTTCTTTTCACGGATTAGTTTGCATAACTGTTTCGGGGCACATTTTGGTCATTAGTCAAACCAGTTTCGAATCGACTTACAACTGTTTTGTAATAGATACGATTCAACCTGCCTGCCTGCCTGCATGCCAAACTCGAATACCTCCGCAGTTGCGAAGTTCTTTCTATTCAACTGGGAAGAACAATTAATACCTGACTAGTAAATGCACCTGCAAAGAGCTAGCAAGGCTGCCAGTCGAAGGAAACGCCGTCGGTTCGACTTTTGGTTTGAACCAATGAATAAATGATAGAGTCTGAAGCCCGGGTTTTCACATCTATGAATCGATATCTTCATTTCTACTTCCATTTTAATCTTGGGTGGTATCGATCATTTTATCGATAACTAAGTGAACTATTGATGAAATTCTTAAATATGATGCAAAACTACACTCGATAACTATATCTGCATGAACCTCTATCCTTCGCTTCGAGTAACTAATCGATAGTCAACAACATTTATCGATAGTCAACAACATTTATCGATAACTGAGGCAACTACTGATGCATGTTAGAGCTCGACGTGGTCGGGCTTAAAGCTGGTGTGCACACTTGATAGATAATTCTGTATTAATATCTATATGAGATTGAATACTCGATCGTCAATTTTATACATCGATAACTAGGAGAGCTATGAATGAGGATTATGGCTCGTAAATACAATCCTGTTGGAGCTGCTATTCACACTTGATACCTGAATCTTAATCTAACAATCTATCTATAACTATATCGAGATTCATTAATCGATCTGCGACACAATTTATCCATAACTTTTTCAATGATGCATGCCTTATGCGAGGATAGAAGAGAATTGTATTTGATTGCTTCAGTTACAACTGGTTGGGATTAGGTTGAGGGCCAGCTGAACACGACTTGGTGTGCGTGTCAATTTTGTCGCCAGCTACTACGGATCGGGAATAGTTCGATAAGCGTTAACGGTTTTTGTGTGTGTGTTGTTTTTGTTGATTTACGGCTGTCACTGGTTTTCGAGTGGCAAATTGCGCCCTGCAGACAAATTGTCCGAACTGAATGATGATGGCAACGAACAGCCGGCGGTACGAATCGTAAGTTTCATTGATTAATTGAACAATGGAGAATTGAAAGAGCGTAGCGCAAAATTGAATATGCCGATGATTGGGATACGATGACGCAGCAGGCGGTGGCGCGCACAACTGAATAGTTGAGAGCTCAAATCAAATGGAAATTGAAGATTGAAGTTCGAAAATTGAAAATTGAAACAGAAACAGTAACAGTAACAGAAACAAAAGTGGGACAGTTCAAAGGCATTTGTCACAGAGGGAAAGCATTTAAAAGTGAGGTTAAAGTTGAAACTGAAACTGCGAGGAGACAGCGAAATTGAAAGGCTGAAATCGAATTGAAGCAAGAAATTGGAGAGCTAGAACCAAAAAATGACGGAGTTCAGAGCGTGAAGTTAAAAACAAATGGAAAGCTATGAAAATGTATGGTGGAAACTTTCAATTAAAAAGTGATTTGGATAATGCAGATTGAAATTGAATTTAAATCAAATTGAAATTGATTAATTTTTGAATTGATACTAAAATTATATTTAATTGAAATATAATTGAAGAGACCAGCTAATTTCAAGTCAGAAAAACATAGAACAAAAAAGTCAATTTAAATATCGGTTGAAATTGAAATTGAATTAATAAAATGTTGATTGAAATTGAATAGAAATTGAACTAATTCAAATAAATAATTGAATTCATTAAAAAATAAAATTTAATTAATATGAAATAAAATTGAACTAAAATTGTGTTCAACTGAAATTGAATTTAAATCAAATTGAAATTGAATTGAAATTGAATTTAAATCAAATTGAATAGAAGTTTCATTTAAATTGAATAAATATAAAATAAAATTGAACTTAAATTGACTTGAATTGAAAATGAATAATGAAATTGAATAATGATTTTAAATAAAATTGAACTTGAACAGAAACTTAATTTGAATTGAATAAAAATTGAATTAATATTGAATAGAAATTTGATTTAAGTCCGATTGAAATTGAATTTAAATAAAGTCAATTAAAAATTTAATCTAATTGAAATAAAATTTAATTAAAATTAACTAAGATAACACAATTGAAATTGAAATGAAATTGTTTAAGTGTTAAAGTAATGGAAATTGAAATGGAAACAGCAAGAAAACTGCAAACTTAACATGGAATTGTAAAAATAATTGTAATTAAATTGAAATTGAATTCAAATGAAATCGCCAATGCAAATGCATTTGTCACAAAGCTGTCCAAAGCCGACTATCCAATTAAACTTGAAACTTGAAACTTGAACTTGAAGCCGAAATGGAGCTGGAAGTGGAGCCAAGTGGAGCCAAGTGGAGGCACCTGCCAGCCAGATAAGCATGGATCAGTGGAAGCAGTTGCTCTGCTCTGTAGAAAGTCAGTTCAAGCCAAAAGAAATGAAGAAGAAGTTGAAGAAGAAGAGGAAGATTTTTTTACGATCTGCGATCTGCGATCTGAGAGCGCGTCATGAGCCGCTGCCTACCTAGCTTTAGAGCTGAGTGAGCCCGAGTGCCTTTTATCCGACAGATGCATCTGATTAATGAATCTCTATGCTGCCACACACACACACACACACACACACACACACACACACACACACACAAGTGCGTAGCAATGTAATTAAGCCCAAGCAACAACAATTACAACAACAACAACAAAAACAGTTGAAAGAAAAAGTTGAAAGAAACAAAAAATTATCCAAAATTTCACTTTTGCTTAAATATATATGTTATGCCCTGTACCCATTCAAAATGGGCAAAAAATATGTTGAAAGAAACGTATGAATATGAGAAAAGAGGCTCGAATTGAGCCCAAAAAGTAGACATATTTGAGAAGAGGATCACGATAAAAGTCGATCTTGTTATGTTCGTCTATTGTGTGAACGAATCGATTCCGGAAACTAGGAAGAGACTTGACATATTAGGTTGATATTCTTTCCATAATATACACAGCACGAGCTTAGAATGTTTTCTCGATATCTAATAAAATGTTATAATAACAATAAATAGAAATTTTTAATGATATAAACTTGCGCTTTGGTATTCCCATATTTTGGTATGCCATATTAAATCCCTGAAAATATCACAAGGATCGGACTATAAGCACCGAAGTTATTCAAGGCTGCAAATCTCAAACAGAGTCTGGAACTAAAGGAAGAAGAAGCACAGCCAGTGTGTGCATAAAAAGTAGCCAGCTGCCTGTACAGGGTATCTACAGGGTATTTACAGGGTACCTATATGGTATCTACAGGGTATCTACTAAGTATCTACAGAGTATCTACAGGGTATCTATTGGGTATCTACAGAGTATCTACTGGGTATTTACAGGGCATCTACAGAGTATCTACAGGGTATCTACAGGGCATCTTCAGGGTATCTACGGGGCATGTAGAGAGTATCTACAGGGTATCTACAGGATACCTATATGGTATCTACAGGGTATCTACTAAGTATCTACAGAGTATCTACAGGGTATCTATTGGGTATCTACAGGGCATCTACAGATTATCTACTGGGTATTTACAGGGCATCTACAGAGTATCTACTGGGTATCTACAGAGTATATACAGGGTATCTACAGGGTATCTACAGGGTATCTAATGGCCATCTACAGGGTATCTACAAGGCATCTACAGAGTATCTACAGGGCATCTACAGAGTATCTACTGGGTATCTACAGGGTATCTGCAGGGTATCTACAGGGTATCTACAGATCAGGCACTCCCTAGTTATGCACTCTGAGATATGTACGTAGTTGCCCACATTTTGTTTGGGCCTTGTAACACTCGCTGGATTCTAGCCGTCCCGCCTACCGCCCCCCGCCCCTTCGCTCAACTAATTGGCCAGTGGAGGTCAGACGAGTTGGCGACTTTGACTTGACAAATTTGCAGGCAGATAGAACTTTTTTGTTTCAGTTAGATTTGTTGTTTAAATTTGTTCGTTTTGTAGCCCAGAAAGCGTGTCAGGGCCAGGCACAGACTTATGCGGCGCACTGTGTTAGCCCTGGCCAGCTGGGCAGACCTTGTCTTGGCCTGGGAAATGTCGAAAAAGAAAAACACACCAAAAACAATAAGACAAAAGCCTGAAGACATACAAAACACACTCAATCTGTATGCGAATCTCTTCGAATCTTAACCCTGCGAAATATTTCTCATCTTTGCAGTGCTAAATGTGGCCGCTGGCAAGGCGCCAATGCAAATATCAACGGATGGGGCCGGCGCACCACAGAAGGCCATCGATGGCTCCACCTCGGCCTTCTTTACGCCGGAGACGTGCTCCCTAACGAAACCCGAACGCTCGCCCTGGTGGTACGTCAATCTGCTGGAGCCCTACATGGTGCAGCTGGTGCGTCTGGACTTTGGTAAATCCTGTTGCGGTAAGTTTCACAATCAAACGTTGCTCACAAAAGTTCAATTTGCCTGAAATGTGTGAAGCTTTGAGCTTTATGCGAGCTTTAAGTTTCAGGCATTTCCCTTTTAGAGTTAAGTATAAAAAAAAAATGCCAAGTTGACTTTAAGGAAAAACAAATTTGAAGAGCTTTAAGCTTTAAGCAAGCTTTTGGGAAGGCTTTCAATCGTTTTAAATTGCATGAAGTTCAAGCAATTTCGAGCTTTAAGTAAAAGCTTTAATTTGTTTTTCATATTAATACGAAATAAGTTAAGCATTTATTTATTTGGACAAGCTTTTGAAAGAGCTTTCAGCTGCTTACAAAGCAAAAGCTCGCTGCACAAACATCAAAATTGAGCTTTAAGCTTTTAACTGAAGGCTTTCCGCTGCTTTTAAAGCTCTTTTATTTATTGAAAGCTTTATAAGCAGGAATTAGCTAGGAGAGCTTCTAGCTTGTAGCTTTAATAAGACATATTAAAAGCTTACTTAAAATAAGAAGTAATATACTAAAGAGTATATTTTTAATAGCTTAGTGAAGTGAAGCTTTCTTGTATTACTTTTTAGTTTGGGGTTTTATCTATTACTAATAGAGAATCTGGAAAGAATACATACTTATCTCGGAAGATTTAATACTCTTTTAGTCAATTGCCTTCAGCTTTTGCAGATACGTGAGAAAAGTAAAGCTTGTAAATGCTGAGCTCGATGAAAATATCTTCGAGAAACAGAACATCTTGCTATGGAAGAACTCATTTCGATTCTTCCCATAGAACTACATAATATAGATGCGAGATCTTGATGGGATTTGGCACGTGCTTAAGCAGCATAGTTTGGCTTAAAGGTGAGGGGCTTGGTCAAGATATCTTGGTCAGAAATAAGTTTTGCTGGCTATAACGACTCGGCTGTTGATGCTGATCGAGAATATATATGCATAGCACATTTCGTGTACAAATTCAAATACACTCCAGTTATAAAAAGGCAGTTTTAAGGCCAGTTCGATGCGAAGATTGTTTTTTTTTTGCAGGCGCTCAGCATTGGGCACGAACTCGCCGGACGGGTTCGCAGGTTGGCAAAGGGTGGGACGAGCTGGGACGAGTCAGCCAATGTGTGTGTGTGTGTGTGTTTTTTTCCCAAATGCTTTCACTTGGCTGCAACAAGTTGTGGCTGCCGCAAGCAATCAGAAAATACAACAAAAATGTTATGTGATTTTCAAGCGGCGGCTCAGTCGCAGGGCCAGCGGCAGGGGGCAGAGACGGAGGGACGGAGGCGGGGGCAGGTGCTGGGGCACGAATGTCAGCCGAATATTTATGATTACTTTCACTGTGCACTGAACTTCGCTGACCCGCTGCACATGCCGCATGCCACATGCCGCATGCCACATGCCGCATGCCGCATGCCACATGCAACATTTGCTCATTGTTTCGTCTTCTTATTGATTTGCAGGCAACAAGCCGGCGACAATTGTGGTGCGCGTTGGCAACAATCGTCCGGATTTGGGCACAAATCCAATATGCAATCGTTTTACGGGCCTGCTGGAGGCCGGACAGCCGCTCTTTCTGCCGTGCAATCCGCCAATGCCGGGCGCCTTTGTTAGCGTACATCTGGAGAACAATACACCGAATCCGTTGTCCATATGCGAGGCATTCGTCTATACGGATCAGGCGCTGCCCATCGAACGTTGTCCCACGTTCCGGGATCAGCCGCCGGGCGCGCTGGCCTCCTACAATGGCAAATGCTATATATTCTACAATCGCCAGCCGTTGAATTTTCTGGACGCGCTCTCGTTCTGCCGTTCACGCGGCGGCACGCTGATCAGCGAGAGCAATCCGGCGCTGCAGGGCTTCATCAGCTGGGAGCTGTGGCGTCGCCATCGCAGCGATGTCAGCTCCCAGTACTGGATGGGCGCTGTGCGCGACGGCAGCGATCGCAGCAGCTGGAAGTGGGTCAATGGCGATGAGCTGACCGTCTCGTTCTGGAATCATCCCGGCGGCGATGAGGACTGCGCCCGCTTTGACGGCTCCAAGGGCTGGCTATGGAGCGACACCAACTGCAATACGCTGCTCAACTTCATATGCCAGCATCAGCCGAAGACCTGCGGCCGGCCCGAACAGCCGCCGAACTCCACAATGATTGCGCTCAATGGTTACGAGGTTGGCGCTCAGATTAAATACAGCTGCGATGCGAATCATTTGCTTGTGGGACCTGCAACACGCACCTGCCTTGAGACCGGCTTCTACAACGAATTTCCGCCCGTCTGCAAATGTAAGTACCCAACAGCATACTAAGAAAATGATCCGGGGTGGATGCATGCGTAGTATATCATGTGAAGACCATAGGAATATGTACTTTTACCTAAGCCTAGTTGAAAGTCAAACATGGTACTGAATGGTAGACCTCTTATCTTTCTGGATAAGTTCGATTCAACTAAGTTCCAGATTATCGTTTCAATCGTTCCCTTCAATTGTCTTCAATCTTTTGATTGATTGGTGCTAGTTCATATCAATCATTCATTTTAGTTATTCGTGTGAACCATTCACTTCAACCATGCACTTCTATTGTTCCTTTCAATCGTTCGATTCAATTGCTCAATTCAAGCATTCGTTTCAATCTTTCCCTTTAGTCGTTCGGTTCAATAGTGATAGCTTGTTTCAATCATTAATTGTAATCATTTGTATCAATCGTTCGTTTCAATCATTCACTTTAGCTATTTTTTTTCAATCGTTCGCTTTAATCAACCCTTCTAATCGTTCGATTCAATTGCTCAATCCAATCTTTCGTTTCAATTGTTCGTTTTCAATCGTTCAATTCAATCATTCCTTTCAATCGTTCGTCACAACCGTGGAGTTCAATAATCGCGCTTGTCATTGCCTGTTTTCATGTCAATCATTTATTTCCATTATTCCCTTTCGATCTTTTCAATCGTTCATTTCAATCATTTCAATTATTGATTCAATCGCAAAGAGAGTTAAGTCAAATTGTGGGGTTAGGGCTGAATTTTCTGAGAGAGATTTTGAATAGCCTTTGCCTTCGTTTCAGACATTGAATGCGGCCTGCCCGCCAGCATAGCGCACGGCTCGTATGGGCTGCTCAATGGCACCGTCGGCTACCTCAGCCTGGTGAAGTACGCCTGCGACGAGGGCTACGAGATGATCGGACGGGCGCTGCTCACCTGCGACTTTGACGAGCGCTGGAATGGACCGCCACCACGCTGCGAGAGTAAGTCCATGTCTGTGAAATCCTTGCAATCGACTAATCCTGGCATTTCCACAGTTGTCGAGTGCGATACGCTGCCGGGCAACTATTACAATACGATAATCAGTGCGCCGAATGGCACCTATTATGGCTCCAAGGCGGAGATCAGCTGCCCACCCGGCTACCGCATGGAGGGTCCGCGTGTGCTCAGCTGCCTGGCTACGGGACAGTGGAGCAGCGCCTTGCCGCGCTGCATCAAGCTGGAGCCCTCAACGCTGACCACGCCCGCTGCACCACCTTTGCCGCCTTCCACGGCTGCAACGCCCGCGCCGCCCTCGTATAGGCCCAAGATCACGGCCAGCACGAGCCGCACGCCAGCCTATCGTCCCTCATCCTCCTCCTCCAGCAGCAGCAGCAGTGCCACGCCCAGCACCGCTGCCAGCTATCCGCATCCACATCCCAGTCACAGCACACCGCACGTGGAGATCAACGGCGAGGGTGAGTAAAGGCGGAAGCAGAGCATATTGTAGATAGATTCTTAAACACAATCCAATCTGTAGCCGACTCCGAGGAGGACAATATCAATGTGCCCGTGCCGGGAACGGTGCGCGAGGAGTTTCCGCCCCGGCGCACCGTCCGGCCCGTGCTCATTCCCAAGAAGCCGAGCAGCACGCCGGCCACGAGCACCACACAGCATGCGCCGGCGCCAGTTTCCACCTATGCGCCGACTCCGGCGCGCACGCGTCCCACGCTGGAGACGAGCACACGGAACACACAGCAGATCATACTCAATTCGCATCCGCAGGATAATGAGATTGCGGACAGCGTCAACATACGACAGAATCAATCGCCCAATGTCAACGTTCCGTTCGCCGTCGACAATCCCGACCGCAAGGAGACCAAAGAGGCCAAACTCAATCTGGGCGCCATTGTGGCTCTTGGTGCTTTTGGTGGCTTCGTCTTCCTGGCCGCTGTTATCACCACGATTGTCATTCTCGTCAGAAGGTGAGTGCCTCTTTCAGCTGATAAATAACATACAAGCTGATTGAACAGTCTGTTCAATTGAAAAGTGAAATTGAATGACGAAATTGAAAGTCGAAGTTGTAAGCTCAGATTGAAACTAATATACAAATTTTATAAATTGAAATCGATATTGAAAATTACAGTTGAAAGGTAAACCAAAAAAATTGAAGCTGACAGCTGAAATTGAAACTCAGAACTTGATTAAAGTTGTTGAATGCAGAAATTGAAAGCAGAATTAAAAAGTCGAGCTTACAAGCTAACATTAAAACTAAAAGGTTAACTTTTTATAAGAAGTTTAGATTGATATTGAAATTGAATGCAACAGTTGAAAGCCGAAATTGAAAGCCAAAATTGAAAGCTAAATTTGAATGGTAAAATTGAAGTTAAAGCTCATTTAAGCTCAATTAAGATCAAGTTACATTAAATGTTGAAATTGTTTTTGAAGTTAAATTATAAACTCAGATTTTACAAGAAGTTGAAACCAATATTGAAAGCCACAGTTGAAAGGAGAAAAAATCAAAATTGAAAGTCCAAGTAAAGCTGCTTGAAATTGAAATAAGAAAAAGGATTGAAACTGAAATTGAAAGCCACAATTGAAATGAAGTCGGAAGTTGAAATTGAAACAAAATTTAATTGAATTGAAAATAGTAAAAGTTAAATCTGAAGCTTAAGATCGACTAAAAGCTGAAGATCAAGGCTTAAAATTGAATATTGAAACAAAATACAATTTCAATAAAAGAAAACTTGTAGATTGAATCTGAGTAAAGACTGGAAAGTAATACGATGGCTTTACTTTTAGGTGCTTAACATAGTTTTACGTATTTAATGTCTGCAAATACACCAAAATTTTGACACAAACTATATACCCTTTCCATGCTGTATACCCTGTATACCCTATGTACCCTGTATACCCTGTAATTGTTGCTCGCTTCCTCTCTCCCATGTTGTTCCATTGTTTTGTTGTTGTCGTTGTTGTTTGTTGTTGTTCTCTCTCTCGCTCTCTCTCTCTCTATCTGTCTCTCTCTCTCTCTCTCTCTCTCTCTCTCACTCTCTCTCACCCAGCTGCTCAGCTCGCTCTCATTTGTATATTCGCCCATAATTGTACATACTCAAAAGTAGAGCAGCGTCTCTCTCTCTCTCTCTCTCTCTCTCGCTCTCGCTCTCGCTCTCTCTCTCTCTCTGCCTTGCACACACACACACACACACACCAACACGCACACTCAAACACACACGCAAACACGCATACATCGTTACATCGAAACGCTTTCTCTTTCTTGTTGTACAACTCTCTTTTTTCGTTTTCGTTTTCGCTCTCTTCTCACCCCTCGGCAAATCATTCGTCAGCACCCCGAACAGCAAACGGCGGCACCTCGCTAAACATTTTACCAATTACAATCATCACAACCACCATCATCACCACCAGCAGCAGCATCCGCGGCCGCACCACCACCAGCAGCTCCACTGGAAGCAGCAGCAGCAGCAGCAGCAGCGACGCCAGCAGCAGCAGAAGCAGGAGAGGCCGCAGCAGGAGGCAAGGGGGGGCAGCGGGGCGCCGTCAAACCGATTGCCCAGCTATGCAACGGCAACGGCCAGAAGCGCCACCAGCTACGCCTCGACGGCGCAGCTGACGCGCTGCAGCGGCAAGATTGGGAGCGGCGGCGGCGGCGGCGGCGGCGGCGGCCTGCTCGGTGGCTATCATATGCGGCTCTTTGGCGATGGATACGGCAGCATCAGTTCGAGTACGCGCTGCGAGCCGGCGGCCTCGCTCTGGTACAGCGTCCTGGCGCTGCCCTTCGACGATCAGAAGCTGGCGCGGCGCGAGCTGAGCACCTATGGGCGTGGCTATCGAGCGAGGGCGGGGCTCTTTAGCAGCAGCCACATGTAAGCAGGCAAAGAGAGCGAAAGGACAAGCCAAAGAGTGACCAAAGCGTAGAGACGTGGAATGAAATGGGAATGAAACGAAACGAAGCGAAGCGAAACGAAACGAATTTGAAATGTGCAACCAAATACCGAAGACTACCTGCGAACGTAATGTGAACGTGTGCCAAAGATGAGCTACAATCAAACAACTCAACAACTCGATCGAGCATCAAGCAATTTAAGCAAAACCAAAACAAATCAATCAAATCAATCAGATCAATCAAAACGAAACTGTGTGCCTTCAATCAAACCGCACAACGGCCATACACACAAATGTAAGCAGCCAAAACAACAACAACAACAACAACAACTACAACACATATACCTCATATTAAAACAACAACACAATACAAATACAACAGCACACGCTCAATCAACAAGCCAAGACACACAATCAATCAATCAATCAAACAAAACTGAATGCAATGCAATTTTAATTCAGGAACTTGAAAGTGACTTTTCGATCGAATGCTGTGGGGGCTGCCTGTTTTTGCTGTTACTTTTCATCAATCAATCAATCAGTTATTCAATCAATCAAACGCTGTTGTCGGGCCACACATACACACACACACACACACACACACACACATAGACACAAACACACACAGATACACATACGAATACACACATGATCTTTGCATACATTTTCTCTATTTCTCCCTCCCTCTCTCTCTCTCTCTCCCTCTTGCTCTCTCTCTTGCTCTCTCTCTCTCTCTCTCTTCATACATTGCACGTTTCTCTCTGCTCTCGTATTTTTGTGTTGCATCTCTCAACTCATTTGTATATTATGTGTATCTAATCTCCCGCACTCTTTATTACCCTCTCTCTCTCTCTCTCTCTCTCTCTCTCTCTCTCTCTTGTGTTCTCTTTTCTCTCTTTCTCTTGTAACTAACACCGACCAGTTGTGGACCTTGTAGTGCACGCCCTTTCTCTCTCACTCGCTCTTGAACACAAAAAGTTAACTAATTAACAAATGATCTCTCTCTTCTTTCTCTTGCTCTCTCTTAGAAACCGCACCACGCAGCATTATCGGCATCGCGCCTCGCCCGACTGCAACACGGTCGCCAGCTTTGACAGCTCCACCTCCGGCTCTCGCAATGGCCTCAACAGGTTCGTATCTATGCCAATTGATAGTTCACAGCTAAAGCTCTCCCTCTCTCTCTCTCTCTCTCTCGCTTACAGATATTATCGCCAGGCGTGGGAGAACCTGCACGAGTCCGCCTCCAAGAACAGCTCGCACAATGCACTGCGCCGCAAGGAGACGCTCGATCCGCCCAGCATGACGCGCTCTCGCGACAATTTGCGCGACAATATGCAACGCTCCCGCGAGAATCTGGACAGGTAAGTTAACAAATGTCAAAATTTGCCAAGAGGATAAAGTTAACAAGCGGATAAATGGCTAAGCGTGTTCGCATGTTCATGGCAAACAGCTGCTTGTTGAATATATTTGACAAGCAGCTGTTAAACATGATAAAGTGTTGCCACTTCATTTATTTACAAGGTGGCAACACTGTTGTCTATATTTGCCAAGTGGATCTAATGACAAACAAAGATAAATTCAAGTTGAACCAGATGTTGCCACTTAATAGATAAAATGTATTTTTAACTGCATGTTAAACTACATGTTAAACTATATGTTAAAGTACTTGTGCGCAAGTGCAAGTTAATGTATGCACATGTTTAACTGCATGTTTAAGTATATGTTAAAGTATACGGGCTTTTAACTACACATAAATCTGTATGTCAAAGTACATGTTAAAGCGCATTTAAAAGTACATGTTAAAGTACATGTTTAACTACATGCATAAGGTACAAGCATAAAGTCTTTGTTGAAGTGAATGCTGAAGTGCTTGTTAAAGTGCATGTTAAAGTTCATGTTAAATACAAAACCTAATAGCTTTAAATTCACCTCGATTCACAGATGCGGCCGGGATAATTATGGCATGCGCGACAACTCGGAGATGGTCGTGTCGGATGTGTGCCTCAAGGGCGAGAAGAAGCGGCATCATCATCATCATCACAAGAGCAGCTCGCGCAACGGCGATTATCGCGATAGGGATCAGTCCGCCGGACGGCGCGAACATCACAGACACAGCGGAGGCGGCGGCGTCGGACCCGGCGGACACTATTGACCAACCATGATCATCACCATCAGCGTGGAGGAGCAATAGGGAGGCGAACGCACAACGAAACAAGAAAAAAAAAAAACAACAACAACAACAAAATTCATTTTAATTTTAATTTTAAATTTACAAATTTTTTTTTTGTTTTTCAACTTGAGCTTGATTTTTTTTTTTTGTTGAATTTCGAGCTGCGACCTAGTTGTAGGTGCACACTTTCTGTTTATAGCAAAAAAATAAGAAGAAGAAGAAGAAAAATTAAGTAAAAGAAGAAGCAGAAATGACAGCTAAAGAAGAAGAAGAAAAGCAGGCATATTAGAGCTTAAGAAATTCTGAAAACTTTTGTAAAATTCAATCAGCTGCAAAAGCATATATGCTATATATATATACATATACATACATATATATATATATATATATAGAAATCGTGACTAGTTTTCAATTGACTAACCCCCCCCCCCCCCCCCCCCCCCCCATCCCTCCCCCCTTCTCGTATAAGCTTGCTGCAAAGTTTTTAGTTGAAATTTGTTTATGAATTAGTTAATAAAAGCGAAATATGTGTGAGGCGCGAGGCGAGGCGTGGCGTGGTTTATATAACTTAGAATTTAGTTGAGAAAAAAGAAAACAAAAAGAAACAAAGAAAAGGAAGAGCACCGTAAATAATACCGATATCAACCGATCAGCCTTAACCCAGAGCAGGAATTATGTGCAACTTGGTTTAGCCTGAGGCGAGGCCTTAGGCCAAATCGACTTGCGCATAGTCGCAAATTAAAACTTAGTTACGTAACGTTAGTGCCCAGTACATGCATATATATCTGCCCTATATAGCCCATGATCAGTAAATCGAATCAAGTTAATAATATTTGTAGTACGCGTGCCATTGACGGCAAAAAAAAAAAGAAAGAAGTACTCGAAAAAGTCTTTAGACAATTTATTCGGCAATTAACATATATCTCTGCACTTAGTTCCATTTCTCGCTGCACACCACACACACCCACACACACCACAATTTTCTCTCTCTATATATATAGTTAACCTTTTTGCATATATTTCGCGCGTGTGTACAATTTTATTGGATAAAGCGAATGTTTCTTTAATCATTTTTTTTTTTGTATGCAATATTATTTGTATTTCGTGCATTATTTCCAATGTAAATAATAATAATTTATTTCATAAATAAAACAATGAATATTTTAACTAAAATGCGAAATAAAGTTGATTTTAATTCAAATTTGAATTGCGCGCCCTGCTGCTAGCGCCATCTATCGTGTGTAATCGGTTGCACACACATGAAGTTGGCTGCGCGCTCACTATCGATAGTCATCGCTTGTTGGCCAGCAGAGGGCGCTGTATCCGTGTGCAACCCTGCCAGCACGCCATATTTGTGACAGCTGCTGTCAAACTGACATTTGTGCGCTGGGCCTCTCTTTCGCTCTTTCTTCTACGAGCGTTCGCCATACAAGATGGTGCGTTAACAAAAAATTTATCCACGTTCAAGCCAAAATAAAATCGCCAATTTCACTAAACATCCGCGCATATTTTTTAATAAAAATATATTGTAATTTTACCGTGTGTGCCGCCAAGTGTGATTATGTTAAAATTTGCCATGGCCCCGTGCCGAATATGCACTGGCGGCCGCAACAAAAAATAACAAACAAATTGGCGAATCTATGGTGGCGCGCCCATTATTGTGCACAATACTAATTGCGATTTTCGATTACAGACGAAGGGTACCTCGAGCTTTGGTAAACGCCACAACAAGACGCACACTCTGTGCCGTCGCTGTGGACGCTCCTCCTACCACATCCAGAAGTCCACTTGCGCCCAGTGCGGCTATCCCGCTGCCAAGTTGCGTTCATGTAAGTACCTACCCTGCCTGCCCTCACCCCTCCACTCTCTTTACTAATATTGGTTGCTTTTCGGTAACAGACAACTGGTCCGTCAAGGCCAAGAGGAGGAAGACCACCGGCACCGGCCGCATGAGCCACCTGAAGGTGGTGCGTCGCCGTTTCCGCAACGGCTTCCGCGAGGGCACCCAGGCCAAGCCCAAGAAGGCTCAGTCCGGCAAATAGGCTCTCGGCTTCCGGGCGTGCAGCAGCAGTTACCACAATTTAAACATCCAGCAGCAGCAACAACAACAAAAATGAATGCTTCAACATTTGGTTGGAGTTAATAAATTAACATGTTTTTTTTTTTCATTAAGTGAAAATTGTGCTTATATTTTTTTTATCGGTTTTCTGTGAAAAATGTGGCATGCGGCGCAACAACAACAGGAAGTGCAACTAGGAAGAGCTTAAATGTGTGTTTTTTTATTTTATAATTTTTTTTATGTTACTTTTTTTTTTTATTGTGAATCGCAATTGCACATTGCTGGCGTTCCAGGTGAATGCCAGCTGAACATTTTGTTGTTGTGACGTAGAGTAGCTGCAGCGCAAGGCCAAGATTGGTGCAACCTTCTCTTTTTTATTTACCACTGCACTGGAATAGCAGCAGGTTCAAGGAGAAGGAGCTTAAGCATTGTTTGCGCTACCTTCTGCGCTTTGATGCTTGAACTGGAAGGGGCGGCACGTTCACATTTGTATCTAACTGTAAACGTGAGCGGGCGCAGCAGCAAGCAGAATCGAGGAAAATGGCAGCAAATCTTTATCTCGCTTTAAATCGTTAAACTACAATAATAAGGAAAACAAATTAATTAATTAGTGCGTGTGGAGTTTAAGCATTTCACACTAGGATAACAGTTGATCGAGTTTTGGCACTCCACACTAGGATAACAGTTAATCGAGTTTTGGCATTCCACACTAGGATAACAGTTAATGGAGTTTTGGCAGGCAGCATAACTGTATTTGCTTTATGCATGAGCAGCAAAATCACGACCCAGCAGGAAATTTTGTACTGATTTAGGCATTCTCTGATACATGCTTGGTAAGTGGCTGCCTCTAAATAGTTAAATATTATTTATCAATTGAAGAGATTTTAGATACATGCATATATTTTAATATTATCTGTGTAAGCAAACACTTCGAATGGCATATAATTCAGTTAGTCCAGAAACGATCTTAATACCCTGTAAAAAAGGTTAATCCGTGTTGAATAGGCAGAAGAAAGCATATATACTTTCATGCAATTTCCGAATGTATCTCGAAGATTATAAAAGCTAAAGACTTGAAATTTGAACCTAGGCCCTCCCACTGCCTTCGCAGATCATTGTAGCCTTGTTGAGGGTATTATAGTTTTGTCGTGCAGTATGTAACGCATAGAAGGAAACATCTCCGACTTCATTAAGTATATGTACTCTAGATCAGACGAGTCGTTATAGCCAGGTCCGACTGTCCCGTTCGTCTGTTTCTATGCGAACTAGTCTCTCAGTGTTAAAGGTCCCTCACAGTACATATGTCGAAGCGAGTCGGATCGGACCACTATGTCATATATCTGTCAGAAAAGATCGGTCGAAAGGTGGGCTCTTGTATGGGAACTGTTTTTATACCCTGAACCCATTAAAAATGGGTAAACAGGGTATATTGGATTTGTGCAAAATGCAAATGTATGTAACAGGCAGAAGGAAGCTTTTCCGACCCCATAAAGTATATATATTCTTGATCAGCATCAATAGTTGAGTCGATCTAGGTATGTCCGCCTGCCCGTCCGTCCGTCTGTCCGTATGTATGAACGCAAGGATCTCAGAACCTTTAAAAGCTAGAGACTTGAAATTTTAGATGTAGGTGCTCCTAGTGCCTGCGCAGTTCGAGTTTGTTTCCGATAATCGATAACTTACTTCGTTTCCAAGCAATCGATAAAAATCGATATCGATATCCTGTTTTTTGGTCAATTTTGGAAAATAATAAGAGCTAGAGTAAGCAAACTTGACATATAGCTTCTTAAATATAATATATATATGCGTTTGATGTGGGAAGAAGAGGGTTGAGGGTATCCCCTAGTCGGGAGCTCCCGACTAGAACCTCTTACTTGTTGTTTATGAAGATATCTTGATCAAACTCGTCATTTATAAGTTTCACTATGAATCCTACATAAATGCAACATCTCATCAAAATCGGACGACTATATGCTATAGCTGCTGCCATAGGAAAGATCGGTTGTAAAGTTCGTTCTTGAGTTCAGTATTTGCAAGCTTCACTTTTCTCACCTAACTGCAAAAGGGAAATGGCTACAAGGGTATTGAATCTTCGACGTGCCGAAGATATTCTTTCTCATACTCGTTTTTACTCGAAAGAAGATGCTTGTTTTCTTTGTTTTGAGAAGCCAACAATTGCCTGGGAACTTAAGATGTAGGACATAGGCTATGCTACAAGAGCATATACCCTATATTTTAGTTCACTCTACAAGAGTCTATATTCCTTTGTTTTATGTTCGTAGCCATTGTGAGCTGTTCACATTCATATCAATATTGTCTTTTCGAAATGTTCGTCAAATTCCAACGAAGAAGCGCCAAATTTGTAGATACTCTTGAGACCTTGTGCTAGTGCTAGGGTATATGTGCGACTGGGAAATAGTTTGAACCCAGCGTCGAGTGCACTTTACCAGCATGCTACCTGCTTTCACTTCGCTTCAGACGTTCATCGGTGCTTGAAGTCCGATCATGCTGAAATTTCGAGGGCATCAGCCAAAATGTCATCAGATCGGACGCAGTTATCGCTTTTATGTTTTGACAAATCCAATGCCAAGTTTCTTAGTTCAGAAATAAGTGTTTTACTTCAAAGATTAAAGGAGAGCACATAATACTTTTGCAAAAATAAAAGAAGAGGGGCAGGAAGCAATTGTATTTAACAATATGCAGAAATAATCTGGAGAATAAACTTCAAAATCGTTTAAGTTAGTTCAGTTTAATGCACTCGAGCCGGGCAAGGCCGCTTAATGCGCCAAACAGCATTCTTCTTTTTTTTTTTGCATCTTTCCGCCCAAAAGTCGACTATAAAAATGAGAAATTACAACTTATAGAAGTACAGCATATTTACGTGCTTCACGATTTTATTAAATTAGGACAAAATCAAAAATAAAAAAAAAATCATAAAAATAAAATAAAATAAAGCGCAATCGACCTGGCTTAAGATTAGATATCTCGTATATATATATATATATATATCTAGTATTATGCTGACAATCTTTATAGCAAAGCAGGATTTTGATAAAGATAATGCCGGTTAATTAAAGACTATCAAAAAAAAAAAAATAAAACGAAAAGAAAAGAAAAGGAAGAAAAATGCAAATAAAACGTATTTTTCTCAACGCGAAATCTGACTAAATGTACAATTTACAATGTATAAAGCGTTTCACTAAGACTAGGTGGGGAGTTTGGGGGGGAAGGGGCGGGGTTAGGCAGTGTAAATGAGAGAGCGAGATGCTGTGTGGGGCGGTTGGGGAGGGGGGGGGGGGGGTAGGGTATTCGGGTAATTAAATACATTGCCACTAAATGCTAAGACAAATTTACAAAATACAAATACAAAGAAAGCTTCAGGCTAATCGGCGTGCGGATGCGGCTGATGTGGAACCAGTTCCGGTTCTGGTTCCAGTTGCTGCTCCCGTAAGGCAGTGCCAGTTGTTGGCATTGTGCTGGACGTTGTCGCTGGCGCCTTCGACTGGATGGCGGGCCGCTTGATCAGCAGCTTCTTGAGGTTCTGGAAGGGCGCATCGAAGAGCACCGTCAGCGCGACGGAGGCCAAGAAGATCGAGATGAATTCGTTGGTATCGAGCTGAAGCAGACAAGTTTTCAATTAATTGCGAATAGCTAAAGTTTAACAGCAACAAGTAAATAGAATCCCACAGTTTTGCAATACTTATATGAATTCATAATAGTTCCGATTGGAATCAGATGCAACATAGCTTTCCATTGGGGAAACTATATTTGTACAGTTCCGATTGGACTAGCTTCCGATCGGAATAGGATTTATCTTCACTTTCCATTAAAACTATATATTTAGATAATCCGGATTAGAATAAGATTTTACTTATTTTCCCATGGGAACTATATGTATATTGTTCCGATTAGAATAAGTTCCAATTGGAACCAGATTTAACTTGACTTTCCGTGGGAACTATATATGTGAATAGTTCCGATTGGAATAGGTACCGCTCGGAATAGGATTTATCTTCACTCTCCATGGAAATTTGGACCAATTGTTCCAATGGGAACTATATTTGTATTTGAACTATATTTATATAATTCGGATTGGCATAAGTTCCGATCAGAATAGGATTTCACGTATTTCCCCGCGGGAATCATATTTGCATGGTTTCAATTGGAATATGTTCAAATCGGAATAGGATTTATCTTAAATTCCCATGGGAACTATATTTATATTGGATTGGAATCGGTTTTAATCGGAATAGGATTTATCTTAGCTTCCCATGGGAACATTTACATATTTTTGAGCGGACATGTGTCTACATCAACTGCACCAGGATCAGGAATATATATATATATATTCGACCTTGCAATATACTCACAATAATGGAGACAAAGTTGTAATAGTGGTGTATGTGACGCCTTCGTCCGACGTTGTAAAAGAAGACGGGGAACTGCGTGAGGTAAATGGCATACGAGAGCTTCGTGGAGACCTGGAAGCCGCGCCAGCTGAACAGTCTGGTCAGTTTATCTGGAAGGAAAAGCCCAAACGATAAGTCGGAATGCGAAAACGGAAGCAACTGCGGCCAATTTACGCACTCTTGTAGCCATTGTGGGAGACGAAGACAATCCAGGAGAAGAACAGGCACCAGGCAATCGGCGCAAATGCCGCGTAGATCGCCGCATGCGTCGAGTTGTAGACGTAGTCGATGTGCCCCATCGGCGCCGGGCCCAACAGCGAGGCCAGCACACAGACTGTCGCCGCCAGCCAGCCGAGACGCAGCTGCAGCGGACTCAGCTGGACGCCCTGATACTTGCGCAGCGCATAGCCCAGCAGGATGCCCATGATGTACACCGTGGAGCGGTGCGGCGGGAACGAGTACATGTAGTCCGCAGTGCGGAACAGCCGCTGTATGCTAAGCGAGAGAGAGAGAGAGAGGAGAAAGGGGAAAGAGAGTTGATTAAAGAGAAGGTAAAAGTGATCTTATTCTTTCTCCGTTCTTGCATAACTTAGGTGTTTGTTGTCCGATCTAAAATATGGCACACAAATGTGTGTGAATACCAAAGGCCCAGACTGTAGCTTCAAATACGGCGCTTCTTTTAGTTTTGCTTGGGAACAGTTCAAATAGATCCAAAGATATACTACATGAGAGTCTACATACGAAATTAGTTGTCTCTAGCTCGTATAGGCGCCGAGTTGTGCTCGAAAAACAGAATTTGCAAATCGATTTTTATCGATTTTAATCGAAACGAAGCAATTTATCGATTACTTGCGACAAATCAAACGGAGCGGGAGAATTTCGAGTCTCTAGCTCATATAGTCTCTGTGACACTTTACACACTCGATATTTATCGATATAAGGCAAATGGGGGGCGATATCGATACAACTTATCGATGCTTTGAAAAGAACGTTATATGTGCGAGCAATAGGAGATATGCTCATAAAATTCTCTTAGATATGTTAAAAAAAGCTGTGGTTAAACATCGATACTTATCGATATTAGGAAGATATCAAAGCAACTTATCGATGCTTTGAAACGACATGAATCTGAAAGAGCTATAAGACAAGATATGCTCACATAGTCTCAGACATGTTTAAAAGAAACATGCTTAAAACTCGATACTTATCGATATTGCGTTAAAGGCAAGAGATATCGAAACAGTTTATCGATGCTTTGACATGCTTAAAAATCGATACTTATCGATATTTTAAAATTGATATCGAACGGATAATATCACAACTCCAAGAATCAAGAATACATACCGACCATGCAATCGGACATGACCCACTTTTAATGCGTACAGGGTATAGGAAGAGTGTGCATCTACTCACTTGGTGCCAAAGTATATGTAGTTGGAGAGCTGGTTGACAATGGTTGTGTAATAGCGCGCCGCAGTGCCGATCGTGCAGAGCAGCAGCAGGGCAAGAAGGCCGCGACGAGGCCAACGCCAGAGGATCAAGATGAAGAGCGGCGCCACTGCGAACAGTTCCGTATCGATGCCCAGATGATGGGTGTGCGTCAGGCACATCTCGCTGAATCCAAAATAGTTGTGGATGAACAACAGGTTGCGCCACCAATGCTGCTTGCAGATGTCCGCATGGTGGCCCACGACTAGGTTCCACTGCGGGCCGGAGCCCCAGAGGGGCAGCACGTACGTACAGAAGAGTATCAGGGCGGCCAGGGGCGGAACAATGCTGCGAAAAGGGAAGAGGCGGGAGATGAAACAATTAGGATATATATTTATAAAAATTTTGATATGTGTAGTCGACTAGCAGATACCCTGTTATTTTCAATTGATTCTCAATTATGTCTCTTAGGTTTGAGAGAAAAGATTAAGGAATTTAGTTCGTGAGCTTGTGAGCGTAGTCGACTAGCAGATACCCTCTAATTTTCAGTTGGTTCTCACAAATACTTCTGACAAATTTCTAAAAAAAATGTCAAGGAATTCAGTTTGTTAGCTTGTGAAAGTAGTCGACTAGCAGATACCCTGTAACTTTACGTCTCGTTATAAATAATGCCTATATCAAGACTTTATTGAATTAAATAAGAATAAAACTAAGCAAGTTAGTTCGTATCAAGCTAACGAGTAGTCGAATAGCAGATACCCTGTTATTTTTGATTGATTCTCAATTATATTTCTGCCAAATCTTTGGAAGTTTTGGCAAAAAGTAAAAGATTTCAGTTCGTAAGCTTGTGAAAGTAGTCGCCTAGTAAATACCCTGGAATTTTATTGTAGTAGTTGTGTAGTAAATATCCTGGAAAATATAGTTTTATTTGAAGTAGCTACTTTTTCAAATATTTGCTAGAAATAGAAAATCAGCTGGCTTAAAGGAAAATAGTCGACTTTGAGATACCCTGTAACTGACTAAAACAAGTGTATATGTTATTAAATCAAGATTCAGCCCAACTTACCGCATCAGACGACTGATGTACTCATTCTTGAGCCGAATGGGCTGCTGCTTCATGAGACGCCCGAACAGCGAGTAGGAGGTCAACATGCCGCTGAACAGGAGAAAGGGATCCGTGTAGAGGGAGGCGGCGCGTCCGATGACCGTCCATGGCTGACCCAGACTCTCCGACATGGCCGTTCGATTGTTGTACGGATTGAAGAACATGGCCATCGACTTGTGGGAGAAGATGAGCATAATCGCATTCAGGAATCGAATGCCATGCACAGCCTCGATGTCGCCCGGCGAGCTGCGCGTGCTGAAAAGCCAGCGCAGATTCTTGTCCAGCGAGAAGGCGGTGCACCAGTCATCTGCAGGGCAGGAATTTAGGATGGATATCGCTCACATCTGGCAGCTGCACTTACTCTGCTTCGGCTGCGTCTTGGTGCTGCGATCGTAGACCGTGGAGAGTATCGCCAAGCAGACGACCAGCACAAAGAAACGCACCGCCCAGGTGGTGTTCCGATCCCAGGGCTGTGGATCCCGCACCTGGCACATCTGCGGCTCGACGCGCACATTGAAGCTGATACCCGTCGCGGCCGTCTGGTTCCGCAGATACTCTGCCACGCTGTACTCGACGTCGCGGTACGTGCAGCCCGACGGCACGCAGATGCCCCAATTGATCAGGGAGTAGCGCGGCACACGGTGACCCGGCTGTAAGAGTGTGAAGGTGGGTGGAAGGAGGATGATTTCATTTGAGTTGTGTCAAATGCGCAAGTTTGTTGCTTAAGTCACTTGCTGGCGAACAGAAAACATGGCGAATTTACGCAAATTCCAACGATTTGTTGTGATCGTAAAAATCGAAAAAGTAGAATTCGATTAAAAAAGAAACCGCTTTATTGGGTTCACTGAACCTCAGCCGTTTGACTAGCCCAATGATTAGCATATTATGCCAAATAGTTTTTAGTTTTTATGCGACTTTGTTTTTTGCTGCTCTTCTTTTTTTTCTTGTGGCGAAATCAAATCGAATGCTTCGCCTTGCTCGCATTTCTCGTCAAGTTCAATGTCGAACTCGCCGCAAAAACTACAACTGTGGCTGTTTGTTGCGGCATTTCGCTCGCTCTTGCGCTCTCTCTCTCTCTCGCTCTCTAATGCTGGCCAGCAACGCGGCGAATTGTGCGAGCGAAAGCTGAACTAACTTTCGTGAGGCTATTTTTATAAATGTCGCCGCGCCTAAGCTAATGCACACACACACACACATACACATATATACACATGGACGCCTTTGCCTTTTATGGCTTTTAATCCATTTGCAATCGCAGTCACGTGCAAAGCGCGCCATTTCGAGTGCATTAAGTGCGAGCACTTGGCCAACGAACTTGAGAACTTGAGCGCTGCACATAAAAGGCATAAAATACAATGTGAAATATAAAAACCTTAAAGCCTAGGCTGACAGCGATGCTTTATACGCATGCTGCAAACCGGTTCTAAGCCGAACTTAGAACCGCATTTTGGCAAGCCAAAATAAAGGAGCCGGCTATAAGGTTGTACTTCTTTCTGTGCAGTTGGCTGCGTGCGTCACTGCTCTCTCTAATCGACGCTCTCGCTCTCTCACGCTCGCTCGCTCCACTTACGTCATTGAATTCGCTCTTGAAGGGCCCGTGCGATTGCAGCAGCTTGAAGAAGGTCTGCAAACGTTTCGATTTATGTGGTAGCACTGGCTGTGCGTAGGCCAAACAGTATTGGCCGCGCAGCGTCGAATTCGCCTGCGTGTCATCGTTATTGTTGCCGCTTGTGACGTCATCGTTTGCCTGCTGTATGCCCATGCATTGATCAAAGTCGCCCGGCTGGTTGATGTTGCCATTGAGTATGCCCGAGTTCAGTTTGCCGCTGGCATCGTGCACTGCAAGAAATGGCGTATTAGTTAGTTATCAGGCGTTGCATGCTACATCAAAATAAATAAAAACACACACACACACAAGTGCATAGACGACAAGCGCCGCGACCTTGACTGTGATTTCATCGCACAACTCGTTCTGATTAGAGATGGGCGCGCGCCGCAATTCGATGATACGCACATCAAACACGATATATTTATATTTTTATGCAGGTTATCTAGGCTTAAGTGAACGCAGCAGGGTATCTGCCAGTCGTGCACGCTCCATATTTTCTAAAGTATGCAGTTTCTATATATAAGTTTTTCGTGCGATTCTTTACAGTTCTTAGTGAGTCGTGCTCGTTTCGTGTCACGCGCCCAACTCTAGTTCTGATGCTGAGCTCGCAGCCAGCTGGCCGCAGTTTGATGCCAAGTTCGCAAAGTTTTTGTTGCTGCTGTTGCTTCTGTTGCTGCTGCTGCTGCAATTTGCTGCAGTTGGCTTAAATTCAGTTGTTGCGTTTGGCATTGGGGCGGCTGTCGTTGCTTGAGTCGCGCAAAATGTGGGTAAAGTTCGACGCTTCACCTTCACTTTAGCCGCACGACACACATGTGTGTGTGTGTTTGAGTGTGTTTGCAATTTCAGAACTTGATTATTTAATTCATTTGACTTTGCACTCTTTCAATTCATGTCGTCGCGTCTGCGGTTCTCGCCTGCCTCTTGCCCGGTTGGCAATGACTCGAATTCTGATTCTGATTCGAGCTTTGGCAGCACTGCCACACACAACACACACACTTGCACTTAGATACTCACTTTTCAAGGCCCACAAATCGAAATTGTTCAACGCCGTCATATAGCGTCGCATCTGCGCGCGGCACAGCGGCGAGGCATCCGGATTGCGTGCCGCATCGAAAGGCTGCGAGATGGCCAGAAACCGTTTGCCAATGTTGTACAAATAAACTGCAAAACAAACCAAATTTCACATAAATTACAATCTACATCAAATGATGTGCCAGTCGAATTCAAGCCCTGGCGCCCCCTGGCGGCCAAAACTGCAAGTGACATTGGCGCTGCCCATTCGCTTAGGGATTGCGCCAAGGTATTGCGCTGCTAGAGATGGCAAATTAACGCTGTCTATCGATAGCATTGATTAACGATAGTTTTACAATTGATAATTATAACAATTGACTTTTAATGCTTGTGGAGCAAACATGTTCGGAGGATTTTAGTTGCCTCCTTTGACTCTTTGCCTAGTTCATCTGCATTGGATATCGATATGCTATGTTATGCTTGAAACAAAGTTAATATCTATTAATTGTGCTGAGTTTGCAGTCTTTTCCTATTTGTTTATATGTTTCTTTAAACACTCGACACGACGATTCGCATGGTTCAATCACTCAAAAGTAGCATCGATGCTTTGTTACAACTTGCCTCTTATAACACAAATCTATGTAAATATGTTTGTCAAGCGTATTTAATGTACCGCATCGCGAAGATAAGTGTTGTCTCCCATACACTGAACCCATTGAAAATGATTAAAAGGGTATACTGTTTTTGTGCAATAGTATGTAACAGTCAGAAGGCAGCATCTCTAAACCCATAGAGTATAGTATATATTCGTGATCAGCACCAATAGCCGAGGTCCTTCTGTCGATTCATCCGTCCGTCTGTCTCCCCTTCTGTCTGGTTGTCCAATAATCGATAACATGCCCCATTGCCAAGCAATCGATTAGAATAGATACCACAATCCTCTAAATCTCTTAGGTTTTAAGCGCGAGTTCTTATATATCTTCTAGCCTGTTTAATAAGATGCATATAGTATAGCTGAGTCACACAATAAACAGGGCCTAAAGCCAAATCGATAACCCAAAAAAATACCCTACCTAAGCCCAAATAGAGCTTTCTTTAGAAAAAGATTCTGTTTCACCAATTTGCTGCTTCTTTTCTTTTAACATTTGAAAATAGTTCACAGTTTTAGAGCAAAGAAATTATGTAAATATAATAGACTGAAATAGTTTGTTTAAAGTTGAGAGAAAGAGGAACAAATTGGGGCAAATATTAAATATGCATTCTGTTTGAATTTATGATATTTGCCGAAATTATTTGAAAGTCAAATATGAAAAAGTTGTTTTGCAGCAAACTGAGCCACATTTACATTATTTTTTTCGGCCGACTTTCTGGCCTAGACAACCTTTATAGAGAGAGAGAGAGAGAGAGAGAGAGTCCTTTGCCTAAAGAAAAACACAGGGTATCTTAGTTTTGGGGCTAGGCAATTTATCGCATAACGAGCACTTATCGAAATAAATGTTGCCACCTTTTGTGAAATTGACGCGTGCCCGCAAACAGGAAGTGGAACTGTGAACAGCCGCAGTTGGCAACGCGGCCAAAAACCAAAGAAAAACCGCTGCAAGCCCAAACAGAAGCCGAGTGCATAGAAATGTCTGCTAATGAGGCGCCACATAACAAACAAATGTTGCTGCCTTTTATTTATTTACTCATATTATTTATTTATTTATAAATTATTATTTATTTATTGTATTTTCTATGGCATTGCGTGCGTGCCAAGCCCAAAGCTAGACCCCAATTCTAATTCCAATTTCAAGTCCGATTCCGATTCCAATTCCAATTCCAATTCGAATTCCAGTTCAGCTTGGCTTTGGCTTGGTTTTGTGCTCGTGCCACAATCAGCATGCAGCACGCAATTTGCGAGTTGTTGCTGTTGTTGTTGTTGTTGTTGTTGTTGTTGCTTTGTTCTTATTAACATTATCATTATCATTGTTGGGCTGTCGCCTGCTGTCTTCTGCTTCTGCTGCTGCTGCCTCTGCTTCTTCTTCTTCTTCTGGGTTTTTTTTTATGCTCAAGCTGAACAAATCTTCAATTTGTCAAGCTCTCATTTGGCATTCCGCATGCGTTGCGTCTGACGACGACGACGACGACGTCGCTCCGACATATCTGTCAGCTAGTTACGCTTCATTGCCTGCATCCGTCTTGGGGCGCATCGATGCCGCGGGGCGTGGCAAGCGCGCGCGCGCGTATGGAGCGTGACAGGTGAAGTGGGGGAGGGGGCGTGGGCGGGAGCTGGGCAGTCCCCAAACTGACAAAGTGCGTCAGATAAGCGCGGCGACAAGCGACGACTGCGTAATGCGTGTGTGTCTGTTGTGTGTGGGCGTGTGTGTGTTTCTGTTGTCTGCGCGCGCGTGTGTGTGTGTGTGTGTGTCTGCCCTGTCGTCATATTCTATATACGTCCAAAGATGCGATAATCCACATTAGAATCTAAAATTGCCGCAGCCATATGGAAAGCCAGTTGAAGGCTTTCAATCGGATGCTACCGACTGCGCAATACCCTGTTCGCTGTTGCTGTGACCGACTAAGAAATACCTTAAACTTATTGTGGCATACGCTTCTTTCCACTGAGAGAAATGTCATGAATACATTTATATAAAGTTTCAAGTCTGCTCGGACACAAAACCAATATACCCTATATTGCTTAGCGAACAGCGTATAGGAAAATAAATGCAAATACTCGCATTGCCTCTCATATGTTAATGCTCACACTCATACCCTATGCCCGTAGACAAGGAAGAATTGGAAATTCCACAGGCTGGCGGTACTCGTAAATCTTCAGTTAGGGCCAACTAAATGATGTGTCCGGCATGGTAAATGCGATTGAAACGTTTGGGAAATATGAAAGCAGCTTCTCTAGACAATTAAAAGTTCAAGAGACAAAGAACTTGAACACCGATAACGTGCAGGAAGTAAAAAGCTATTGCATAATTAAGAAACGCGGATCGATTAATAATCGATTCAAGACAATTGGCGGAAATAGTGAAGGTGGCGACTGGAAGAAGAGTTGACGTGTATATCAGAGTATGCAGCCCAATCTGCATGCTTTAATCGATAAGTAATCGATTCGAGGCGATAAAATTCATGAGCAAAGAACAAAAGACTTGCATCGATTAATAATCGATTTCCTTTTGAACCGATTGACAGCAGATGCTTTGCAGGAGAGCAACTATTTGGTCCTTTAGAAATGAGATGCACAAAAGGAAAACGACATTCGATTAGAACAAATAAATGATCGACTATCAACTTAAGGTTAATCGATATCGATAAATCTAAACAGCCTAGTCGATAGAGTCACATATAGATAAAGTTATTCTCAAACAAATGTTTGTACTAATTGGAAGAGTATTAAATCTTCGTTGTGGTCTTTCATACATAACTCTAATGTGGCCTCACCTTCTCCCTCGTTCAAGCTCTTTCTTTCTGGCGTACACAAGAATTGAAAGTTCTTTGTTTTTGTGTGTTCTTCATTCTTGCGGATTATCTTGTTATTTCTTTTGTTGTCATTCAAGTTAACTGATCATGACTCCGCAGTTTTAATCGATCTGCAAGTTATCGATTGTGTGCTTTTTCTTTTTTCTCTTCTCGTTTTGTTATTGTTATTCTTGCGGCCAATTAGCGTGGCATCATCTGAAATATCTTGTACTCTCAAGCATGTATCTTTAACATGTTTGCTAATAAAATTTGCAGTTAGCTTAAGCTCTTAAGGAATACCCTATAAGTGATTGAAGCGAGGTGTTTTAGTTGCAGCTAGTATGTAAATATGTAATTCAATTTCAAATTCTTAAAGATTTTCCAGATTTTCAAAAGATCAAATCAGTATTGCACTTGTTTACAGGGTATTCACTAGTTGGGCGCCTTCAGCTAAACCTAAACCATTTATAAGTGCAACTGTTATTGCAAAGATTCGCTACCGTTTTTGTTAATTTCAATTTGATAATCAGAATTCTCTATTTGGCCTATCTAAATGCTGATTGATTCAGTTAATAAACGCTTCAGTTGACAAGCTCCTATCGTTGAGTAACCTTTTAAGTGCCAAATCATCATTGCCATCATCATCATCAGCATCGTCGTCGACATCGTCATCCTCATAATCATAAACAACAATTAAAGTCGCAGCCAGAGTACTCTTAGCTTTATGAGCTGCTTGGTCTATTGGCCAGCAACGAGTTTTTGGTCAAAGGCCCAAAGTCACGTTGCGTTCGTGCGAGGCTGCACGAGTGCTGCACAATGTACGCTTGCATCTAATCCAGTGTTGATTAATGCCAAACAGTGTTAAACAATAAGAGAGGATTATGTGCCAACAGTTGCACCTTGTGCCAGCCATGTGCGGCTGTACTTAATATCTAGTGTTGATTAATGCTAAACATGCCAACAGTGCTGAACAATAAGTTAAGTCCTTACGAGAAGGATACGCGCTTGGTGGTGGAGCAGGACACGGGCTAAGTGGGCTTAGATTAACTGCCAACACCCATTAATAGTCTAGTGTTGGTTAACGCTAAATATATCAACATTGTTTAACACTACACTTTCTTTCTGAGCGAAACGTGTGCCCAGAGGGCTTTATTTATCAGCCAACCCTTACTCGTAAGCTTCAACCCAAGGTCTAGTGTTGATTAACGTTTTAGACTGAGGTCTAGTGTTGATTAACGATAAACAGATCAAGATTGTTTTGCAACAACCTGTCTTTGAGGGAAAGATCATATGTCAACACTTGAAACTCACAAGTTCCGTGCAAGTTGACACATTGCAACGGCCTCTGGGCTTGGGCTCGGGTTCGGGAGCACAGCTTATCGTTTAGGCCTATAAAAAATATATATATATATATAAATATATATGACTCTATATGTACAGAGTCTGTTCTAGCCCAGTGCACGGGGCTTTTTTTTCGACTGCGCTTGGCCCGCCCGCAATCACAGCGCAAATATTTGACCAAAACTTAACAACAAGGCCGAACCTTTTAGCAAGAATAAGTGGACAACAATTTAAATTGGGCACAGTACAGAGACTCTGCAGCTGCGACAAGCGAAGGGGGCGGGTGCGAGAGCAGGTGCGCGGGCTTGGAATGTGTGGACAGACACTTGGACTTGTTAATGAGACGCGCGGCGTGACGCATCGAGCCGGAAGTGCTCGCTGACAATTGTCTCAGCCTACGTACAAGTAGCTAACATTTAAATCTCTTCACATTTATGCCCTTTATCATAAAAAAAGAATATATATATTTTGAATGGAACTAAACATAAATATGAATTGACAATTCGTGTGTGGGCTGCCAAATGCCAAAATAGTTAGTTTGGATCTAAGTATAAAACTTGCTACGCAGACTCTAGTGAACATTACATACAAATAGATAAAAGACTGAGCTTAACTATTTGGACGATAGGCATATAGATAGAGATATCTGCGTATATCTGAGCACTCAGCTGTCCAACTATCTGTAACTCAGAGACTACAAAAGCTGCAACTGTGCAATTTGGTATGCAGACTCTAATATGCACTATAGATTCATAACTCAGAGACTGTAAGATCTAAAGCTATGTTCCTTGTTTGTTTCATCTCAAGATATGCATATCTTCTACGCTTTTAGCTAATTGAAAGAATCATTTGCCAGATTATCAAATAAACTAATAAATGATAATCATATACATTTGCCCAACTATAACTCAGAGACTATAAAAACTAGAGCCAAGAAATACGCTAACATATCACAACAGCATGAAAATTAAAATCGCGTCAAATATTTGCGAGAACTTGAAATTGAATTACACAATTCTCGGGAAATAGCCTTGACCATGTTGCTTAAGTTAGCAGAAATGCATTTAGCTTGTTTTTCTTTTTTTAGAGGGTAACTGCAAGTCGTATATGAACTTGTTGCTCTACGGATTTGAGTGCTCTGTAATTGGGCTGTGGGCGGTTCTTGTTCAAGGGTTCGATTTGATCACGTAGCGCTGCCCATGGAGGTCTTTGTGGCCATTAAGGTTGATGGCGTCGTACGTGGTACGTATCACAAGAGACACCTGTCTGTGGGGAGGGGGAGGGGCAATTGATTTTATTTAACGCACGCGCAACATTTATGCAACATTTGACGTTGTGCAAAAGTACGCAAAGGGACAGCTTGAAGCTTGAAGTGTTCCGAAGGGAGGCGGAGCGGAGAGTGGGGGGGGGGGGTACTGTCCACTCGAAGAGTGTGTGTAATAACATTAACAGCTATAAATGACAATAACAATTGAAATCGCATAAAAGGGGACAGCAAGAGAAATAACAAAGAAAATACAAAAACAAAATAAACAACATTGAAGTGTGGAGCGCGGGTGGCGTGAGAAAGTCCCAATTGAAATGATTTGTAACTATGCCAAATACATTTTTGGAAATTATAAAATCAAAAATAACAAGCAACAAGTGAAGAGTGCTGAGCTAAAAGATACCCTGTAACTAGATGAGCTCTCTCTCTCTCTCTCTCTCTTTGTTTATATAAATTAGCATATTAAGCTTTACAAACAAAATAAAACAAAATATACTTCTGTGTAGGGTATTAAGCAGACCACATATCCAATCTGCAAAGTCTAACTCGGATAGTTCCCGAGATCTCTCAGACTGTCTGGATTGGCTCGACTGTATGGATATGTTCATATAAACTTGATTGATTGCATTCCATAATTGCATTTCCTCGCACATTTCTCAGCTTAGGGTATCTGAGTACCAAGTTTGTCAAGTGCAGCTTGTATACCTCCTGAGTTCCTTTAGTCTGTTTGACTGTTTGACTCACAACTGACATTTGTGCGGGAGTAGAACAGGGTATTTATAATGTGACAAAAAAAACACCTTTTAGCTCCGAAAGATCCTGAACTGTAAGTCATTTTTGACTTATTCTATTTAACAGATTTGCGAAACAGATTATTCCAAGTGAAACATAATATTAATTCTCGTATGGCTTAATAAGAAGCTCATACCAAATGTGCACAGTCTAGCTCCTAAGGTGCCCGAGTTCGATTAGACAACTATAACGAAATATGGTTTGCAAAGCAGTTTATACAAATTTATCATCTTTTGGTTTAATCAAACCCACATACCAAACTTTTCCTGTCTAGCTTCTAAAGTTCCCGAGTTCCATCAGGCTAGAGATGTTGCAAATATTTTAGCCTAGTTCTATTTAACAGAATCAAAGTATTTATCATCGTATGATTAAATCAAGTCCACATACGTTATTTGCCAAGTCTAACTCTCATAGTTGCCGAGTTACCCTAGAATGTTCTGGCTTTGACAGGGCATATCGATGGGGAGACTTACCGCGCTCGTCATCCTCGATCTGATCGTTATCCTCGCGCTTGTCGCTCAATTGACGCAGCGTGTAGTTGGCGGTGCTGCGGCTCGTTGTGGTGGTTGCGTGGTGCAGCTCGCTGAGATTGGCGGCAGCGAGCGCATCGTGGAGCACATCCAGCACTGTGGTCGAGGTGCTGCTGCCAGTTGTTGTTGTTGTTGTTGTTGTTGTTGCCGCATTGGCATCATCCGCGAACAGCTTTAGGCTATAGTTGACCTTATCCTCGAATATGGAGGCGATGTGCGATTCAACTGGATCGCTGTCCGCGTTCACCGACAGCAGATTCTCGCCCGGATTGCAATTGTCCTTCAGGCTGCATGTGGGATTCGCTACAGCGGCCGCAGCGCCATCTAGCGCCCAGCAGCGGCCGCTCAGGCAGCAGCACAACAGCGCCAGCAACGGCAGCGGGCACCACATGACACAGCAGGAAGCGAGGCACCGAGAAACGCGCTTCAAATGGATTCCTTTCGGAAGGAAACTGGGCACATAACAACACCAGAAACTTTAACACACACGGCGTATGCACGATACAAAAAAAAAAAAACCAAGAAAAAAGAAAAGCAACAAAAAAAAATGACACGAAAAAAATGTGCAGAAGATCGAAAAGAATTTCTGTGTAGAATTCTTTGATTATTTAGCTGTGTGTTTTTTTTTTTTATTGCTGAGCAGCGCGCGGGCGCAGCTTGTGTGTGTGCGTGTGTGTGTTTGTGTGTATTGGCAGAGCCCAGCGACTAATTTAGCGACCGTCAAGACGTAACATTCAACGTCAACTGATTGTCCAAGTGCCGCGAAGCGTACGAAGACCGTTCAGACGGCCGTTTCGACGGTTTCGGCGGCGGCTCGGCCGCAGTCGCAGTCGCAGCCACAGTCAGGTGTGTGTGTGTATGTGTGTGTCTCGCGCACACACATATGTGCTGTGCTCGTGTTGGTCTGTTTTAGCCGCAGACCGAAAAACATTTCAAAACCAAATGCAAACCGAATTTTTAGCGGCTGCTCGATGCCTGCTGCACATCTCGTCAAGAATTGTCGATTGCATTGTGTTTCGTGATGTGCATGCGAATCGTTAGCGCTGCGAAATCTATTTGTTTTAGCTAAAGCTAGTTGCTGCCTACCCCCTTTCCACCCCCACTCCCCCCCCTGATTGGGCTTCGATCTCGCTCAGTTCCCACAGATCCAGCAAAGATTATGCGCGCCCCAAAGCAATAGAAATATCAATTTAACATATTTGTACGACACAATAATGGGAGTTTTTTTTTCAACCCTCAGCCAAATAGTTGCGCCCGATCGAAGCATCTTTCGCATATTCAGATTCCATATAGTATATATGGCTGGGAATTTAAACACGCTTCGGAGTCAGTGCAAATGCGCAGCCAGCATATAGTTAGCTTTATTTATTATTATGCATTGAGCATCTGGAGAACACATATATTTTGATTAGACTATAAATCGGTTCTTGACTGAACCGGTTCGAGCATGATTTCTCGCCTTGAATCGAACCTGAAACCAAACAATTTGCCCAAAAGCTAACCGAGAAGGGTTTTCAGCAAGGCTGCGAACCGGTTTTCAGTTGAACCGGTTCGTGCCAGTACTTACAGATTAATCATTTGCCGCGAATCGAAGCTTGAACCAAACAAGCTTCCCAAATACAAACCGTGATGTGTTTTTATCGAGACAGCGAACCGGTTTTCAGTTGAACCGGTTCGTGACAGTACTTACAGATTATTCATTTGCCGCGAATCGAAGCTTGAACCAAGCTTCCCAAAAACAAACCGTGATGTGTTTTTATCGAGACAGCGTACCGGGTTTAGGCTTGATAGAACGGGGCTTGAACCTCTATCGAGGTTTAGTTAAGCATGAAACCCGCCTCGAAACGAAAGGCAGTAATATTGCTTGAACCGTGAACCGAACCATCACAGAATCTATTTTGGGTTTATATAAAAAAAATAGTCATTATCAAATGTTCCTATGGGAAATACATATGTGTTATAATTTATATATATATATTGATCAGGAATATATATATTCTCTAAGAAGCTGGAGACGTCTGAAAGGCGATTCAGTTTCGAGTGAGCTATGCAAATATAAAGATTCGAAAAGAGAAATAATCATTTCTATGTAATTGCCGAGAATGATAATTCTTTATTGAGTCAGCTTTATTTGTACGATTAAAGCATAAGATCTGGCTGGCAAGACTCATAAGAGCCCCATTTAAGCCAAATAAAAGTGGGCAGCGAGTGGCTAAGCGAATTAGACGAATTAGTTCAGTTGAGTTCGAAGACTTGAGTTGAGCTTGGCTCGGTTCAGTTGGGCTGCCAGTTGACCAAGTTGTCAGATATCGGGTCTGTATGCGATGATAAGCGATTTTGCAACTGGCCGAACGCTCGACTGGCAAAAAGTCTACAAATAATTATAGTCAAGTTATTGGCCAACAGCAACTTGTTTTTTTTTTTTTTTTTTTGACTAGACGCAGCGCCTATATAGAAAACAAAAATAAACAACTAAAGCTCCAAGCGCTGAGGCCAAGCAGCTAGAAGGAACTGTTAGCTACAATGTGGCCGAACGTCAAATACCCTAACAAGCCAAGTGTGTATTGGGTGGCGCGTCTAGTCAGCTGTGCTTTTCGGGGCGGAGCGTTGAACTGTCAGGCGAGAGGTCGCCGGTTCGAAGACAACAAGCAAACCTTCTGCTCTAGCATGACGCATGACATGTACATATCGACTGCCAAGAGCGATATACCCATTGTTAGGGCATTAATGGCAACTAAAAGATCCGAGAGAATCGTTCAATGAGCTTTTTTTTGCGGGATCTCGTCGCAAATGATGTTGCGGCTAAGCTGCTTAATTAGGCTTGGGCAACGGGCAAAGGTTTCCAGCTGAAGAGCGACCAACTGCAATGAAGAAGACAAAGCAGCAGAAGTGGCAGGTGGCATGCGGCAGGTGGCAGGTGGCAAGTGACTCGTCACTTGTGCAAAGCGCACAACTGATATAAGTACAACAAGTGAGCGTTGCGCGTAGAGTGCTCGACTAGCAGATGCCCTGTAATCCGCGCAACAACAAATGTATGACAACAAGAATACAACTTCCTTCGATGCAAGGCAACCGCCCAGCTTCAATTGATCGAAAGTACATTCCGAAATAACTTGGTTGTCTTTAGCCCCATTCAGCACTTCCAGAGTTATCTAAAAATATGATAACTGTGGCTAAATAGATAAGCTAAGTTCCATGATATAAGCCAAAAGCAGTTCCAGTTTCCAGTTCGATATTTATCGATATTATGAATGAGCTTATTCTGCTTATGTCAAAGGGCATATAGGAAAAAAAACTACGATATAGGGTATATAAATATGCGTATGTGTTTTTCTTTTGTCGATGGATAACTTTTTATTGCCTAGCATCGATAAATATCGATAAATATACATGTCTAAAGGCTTTTGTTATACAGGGTAAACAAATTATAAATAAATAAATTAAATAGAATTGATTCTACAATCTATGAAATAATCTAAAAGTAACTTGCTTTAAGATCGATATCTTATCGATCTTAGGCAGGGAATATTTATGGACCAAGCGATAGAAATAGTTCACTTATTGTGTTAAATATTTAAAAAAAATTAAATGAAAATAAAAGAAGCAACATAAACTGACGCAAAATGCAACGAAAGTGAGCTTCTGGTTGCCAATATCAAATTACCCAAGCGCCGGGCAGCAACAATTTGCAGCTCGGTTGGCCATAAAATAAAATAAACAACAATACCAAAGCCGGCTCTTGTTGTTGTTGTTACTGTTGTTGTTGTTGTTGTTGCTTCTTGCGACAAACCAAATTGCAAACGGAACCAGCAAACGCCAAGACAACTCTAGCCAAGTCAAGCCAAACATTCTCTTTCTGGCAGCGAATTGGGCCGCACGCTGGCCAAGAAAGAATGTGGCAACTGGCGGCGCTGCGGCTCACAGCTGAACGAGTTTTTGGTTCCGCGGAACCAGCGACTGATTAGGCGCTGCTCACGGAGGGTGGGGGAGGGGGGGCTAGTTGCATGTTGCACACACACACACACACACACACACACACTTTTCAAGTGGCAAGCGGCAACAGCCAACAGCCAACAGTGAATGCAACAGCTACTGCAACTGCAGCGACTTGATTTAGTTGCGGGCACTTGTTGCCCCAGCGCCAGTTGCCGCAACCCCTCCCCCCGCCCCAACCACGACCCCCTCCCAGCTTACTTCCCCAGCTGCCCCTGGCTGGCTATTTACGTTTGGTTGCACTTGCAACGAGAGTCTTGTAATTTACTGACACAATTCGTAACGCATATAGATTTTTGTTAGTCTCAAACTGTTGCGATTTGTGGCCAGCCTTTTTGTCGAAGTTGTCGCTGAAAAGTTGCCAGAGTCTACATAAAATGTCATAACAAAAGTGTATTTCATTTGATTGAATGTGATTCATTTGATGTAGAATCCAAAAGCTGGCAAATTGTGTATTTGCCTTAGCTTCTGCGGTATATTGGATAATTAGACCAAATTTCTGGCAAAGAAGTGTGCTCTGCGAATCTGCTTGGCTCACTTGCTGTAACGTCGAACCAGCAAAAGAGAACTTGCTCCATGTTTAATCACGTATTCTAAGGAAAACACAAATTAGAGGCAAATCAACAATATTTATCGACCTGACAATTGAAATAGAATACTTGCCGTAACGTCGAGCCAGCAAAAGAGAAGTTGCTGGTTCAAATCCATGTTTAATGACATATTCTAAGGCAAACAGCAATAAAAAGCAATTGAAAATACAAATTAGAGGAAAATGTAGGCAAATTAACAATACTTATCGACCTGACAATCGCAATGGAGCCGAGATCCAAGCTCAAGTAATCCCAGATAACCTCAATCGACTCAGCTTTGAGTAGATGCAAGGCACATCTGCCGAATGCCAGCAAGTGTATTGGATCTTCGGCGTGCCGAAGCGCTAAGCTGTTCTTTCTTGTTGTTTATGTTTTTGGCTATTGGGCAAGCTGGCGTTGCCAATTGAAGTGTTGTTGCTCTTGCTGTTGGCTGACTGGCATATTGGCATTTCGTGCGAATTTGCAGTTTTCAGGACTGATTTTGTTGTGCTTGTGCAATTGACCAAACCAAAGAAAAGAGCGCCCCAAAACCTTTAGCACAACACGCACTTAAAGTACGCGCTAAAGATGATGAATTCTTATTTGCACAGCAAGCAACCAGAAAGCTCGACAGCAGCTGCCCTGTAATTGGCCTTAAAGTTCTTCAAATTCATAATAATTTTCGATTTATATATGGAACAGAGCCAGAATTGGTTTAAGAATGTAATTGTCTGGCGTTTGTAATATAAATAATAAGTATCTGCAGCAAATTCTGCAATATTACTCTGTTTCCATAGCTATTGGCCGCATGAACTCAGGAGTGAGACGGCTGATTTAAAATATGGTATATCATTTATCAGACTAAGGACTGCGAGAATATGTATTCTAAATTTTCCAGCTCTAATGCTGAGAGTTCTCGAGATATGACTGCCCAAGCTCACCAGGGCCAAAGGTATCTGTTCTTGGCATTATAATGTCCACATTTACATAGTTTACAGGGTATGCGAACAGCAAACAAATAAACTTAACACGCAGAGCGTCTGGCAAAACGAAACCAATTTTGAGGCAGGTCACGCCGCGGCTTTTGGTCAAAAGATTTTCGGGGCCCAGTTAACTGGAAATGCAAATGCTGAGCCCTTTTTAACAGCCACAAACAGTCACAACAACAAAACCAGCGAATGCAAATCCAAATGCATTCAATACGAGCGGGTAGTGGGAAGGGGTGGAGAGGGGCGAGGGCAGAGGGAATCGAGGGGCGATTGTGGTATGACGACCAAACAGTTTAACGCAAATTTGTTTTGGTCTATTTGGGCCTACATTGTACGAAAACGAGCCATAAAATGTATTTCTATGAACCGCATTCAAAACCAAACAAATGCGGCTTCACAAAATCTCGAATCTGAAAACAAAAACAAAACCAAACGTGATCTACCACATATATCTGATCTATTGAACTGTTGGGCAATAAAAATCAAAATGTCAGCGCGATGCGAAATCGGGGCGTTTGCTTTTGCAATTGAATCTTAAGCTGTAATAGATAAAAGCAAGAAGAAGCGGCAGATGTATCTGCTTTAGTATCTCTTTTTAAAGTTGAGACAATTAAAACTGATAATAGGTTCGAATTAGTTACATATATATCTTCTTTCACCTGAAATGATTCATTCGTGTCGAGTTCTACGTGAAAACAAGCTTCTCTTAACCCCATTCAACACACTCCAATTCAATTAACCTTACTCTAAGCTTACATACCATTACCGTACCTTATCAAACCCAAATCTAACGTAACTTAAACTAAGCTCACCGATTCCCAGCTAACCATATCTTAGCTAATCCCATCTAGTTAAAGCCAATCTTACCCTATTTGGCATGACCAAATCTAATATGAACGGACTTAACCTAACTTATCTCAACCTAACCTAACTGAACTCAACCTAACCTAATTTAAACTAAGCAAACCGATGCCCAGCTAACCCAATCCAAACAAATCCCTTCTAATCTAAACCAATCTGGCTCAATTTATAATAACCTATGCTAATATGAGTTGACTTAACCTCACTTTGGTCAACCTAACCTAACTAAACCCAACCTAACCTCACATAATTCAACCTAACCTCACTTAGTTAAGCCTTATTGAATTCAAATATTTGAGAATATATGAAATTAGTTTTCGAAAACGAGCAAAGTGCGATTTTATGCTTGAAAAAGTTTCTTAGCTTATGCTTAAGTGCGAATCCAAAAATCAGCTCGAATAAAATCTCAGTAAAAATGAGAGAATTACGTAAAATATCAAAGATATGCAAAAGAATTTGCGCAGCTTACGCAGTTGAATTTTCAGGTGCGTTGTAATACCAAAGATTAGCTCAAATGCAAATGAAAAGCTACAAACTATGCACGGAAAATTAAGTTTTTACAGTGTCTAAGCACCCCCCCCTCCAAAAAAAACACGACTTGTTGGCGGCCTTTCGACATCGCATTGCAAAACCAATAAAACGTCTGAAATGCATTCGAACTGCAAGCCGAGAGCTGAACAGAACTTTCGAAACTCGTCTTTGTCCGAATGTGGACGAGCTGCAAGTCGCGACACGAGCCTAAAGACTTGACGCCGTGGGAAACCAGACGCTGCCCAACACTGACTGTTTCGGCCAGGGCGAAGGGGGGGGGGGGGTGGTGGTGGTGGTGTGCACAAGCTGTGTTGTGGGGTGTAGCACCGATGGGCTTTGCCCACCCATGTGCCCAATAATGATGATGGGCCAGTCGGCCGCCCGCCCAGCCAAGTTGCTCGCTTAAGTCTTTTGTTTTGCTTTATGCTTTTTTGTATACCCATTGAAAATGCATACGAAACGGGCATATTGCCAATAGAGACTTGAAATTTCCGATATATCTGCGCATAATATCGATAAATATCGATTAATATCGATTTTCAGATATGGTTTTTCTCTTCACATAGCTCGAAGATCTTGAAAACCAGCTGCAGCAAACTTGGCAGGCAGCTTCTGGTAAGGTTTATGGAGTACACTTTTGAAATGCCACGCCCCTTTGCCCCAGAAAACTGTTAAGACTTGTATTTGACAAGTTAAAGACTTGCGCTTTGGTTTCGAAAGTCAAGATGGAATGGCATGGTATGCTTGTGTACGTATTGTAGGCAACTAGCAGGGTATCTGCTAGTCGAGCACTTTCCTCTAGGGCAATTTATGCATTGATATATTTGATACGTACATTTTGTATTTATCGATATATGTCTTGCAGCGACCTTGGCAATTGTTAACCCATTTATAACAGTCGCAGTGGCAGTTGCGACTGCAACGATTCGTAGCTGGAATTTTAAACATTGCCTCAATTGTTGTTGTTGTTGTTGTTGCCATTCGATTGCCCATGTCTCGCATTTGGCTTTGTTCGAAGGGGCAGGGCGGGCATTGGCTTGGGGTTTGCCTATTTGGCTATTGGCCCAAGTCGCAGCTGCTCTTCGAAGGTCTGTTCCAAGCCCCGAACCAGCCCGAGCCAAGTGACGTCATGATTGGGCATTGTCTTAATTTGGGCTCTTTGTCCCATTAACAAGTCGCAGCGATAATACGTTAATGCCTTAATTCGCCTCTAATGCCGCACTTCAAATTCAAATTGCGCTGCGCAAATAACTAACAAATTAATTAAAAAACCAAAAATTATCCAGAATTTTTAATTTCCTACTGTCTCAAGCTTGCTCGTCTAAGTCATTTAGTTTTATACGCTTTGTGTGGACAATTTGAAAGGGCATTTTGAGTCAAGTACACAGCCGAACGGGTTCGAGTCCGGCTATACAAGTCTTGAACGTATGGAAAACTATATTCAACATAAGTCGAACGGAAATATATATGCATATAAACATATGTCTTAAATTTCGATTCAAGAACTAATACTTCTTTTCCGTATTGCCATGAACAAAGAGCTAAACCTCGTGAGCATTGGATGAGATTTGACCAAGTTATGGGGGTGGGAAATTTCGACCTATGTGTATTAGGGTTACTTGAGGGTACAACTTTCACATGAATTCTTAGCCAGAATAAAGTTGCCCGATTTAGATGCCAAATTGATGCAGAGGCCAAACCATGAACAAAGAGCCAAAGCTCGTCAAAATCGGATGAGATTTTACCGGGTTATAGTCGTGGGATATTTTGACCTATGTCTACTTTTGACAACAGATTGTCGTAATGCGGGTCGATACGGGTTCGAGTCCGATTTTATTTATGTATTTATTTAATTTTATGATTACTGCTAAAGCAAATGCGCTCTCAGTGGAAGAGTGTTCAGGGTATTCCCTAGTCGCCAACTCCCGACTAGAATCTCAAACTTATTTTCATTTATAGCTGTGCAAAAGCCTTAGTTATGGGCCTAAATTCTCGATCAAATTAAGACGGAATAAGGTTTAAACTAGTTCTTACTTTAAGTCTAACATTAGTTAATTATAAATCTTCACACTCCATTCATGCTAGGGTATTTCATTTAATTGAATTACGGACTTTTCATTGCCTCTGCTTTATTTATTACGCTCAAATTGAACGAGCAATTAAGTTCAACAGCGAGTTGAACATTTCAGTTAGCCAAAAGTTCATAAAAGCTGGAACAGCATTTGGGTACATTGATCTAAAGCCGAGCGAGAGGATCAGGGGTTGGAGGAGGCAGAGCAGCAGGGATTCTAGGGTGAATGCCTGAAGAGATAAACAAACTTTGGGCCAAGAGCTAAATGTATACCATCTCTGTCTCTCTCTCTCTCCCTCTCTCTCTCTCTCTCTCTCTCTCTCTCGCTCTCTCTCCCCCTTTCTCTCTCCCTCTCTCTCACTCTCTGTGTCTTCCCGCTCACTCTCTCCCTTTGATGAGCTCAACTTTTATAACTGTATTAATTCAAAACATCATCAATATTCTGTACTTAACGCAGCAAACGCTCGACTAACAGATACCCATTGATTTGTTTCTAGCCCCAATTACTCGAGTACTTGCATTGTTTATGCTATCTTTGTCTTGCTTAAGTGCTTTAT